GGGGGGGGGGGGGAGAAGGTGAACCAGAAACCCTAATTCCCTAACTACTGGGTGAAAATCTTCAAAAAATAATAATTTAAACAGCATTTCATCAATTTTTTATTTATGACCTCCGAAGCGTACCTGAATACCCAGACTGACTCCATCAATTTCACTGATGAAGGGCCAGGCCCGAAACATTTGGAAAGGAACTCCAGCTTAAACACGGCTCTTTTGTTCATAATTTATTTTTTAATGAACATTTTCGTTACTTCTGTTTTCTAAAGTGCCACGCAGCTTACCGGAATTTTTCCGTCATAGGGGAGGCGTTTAAAAAAGACAGGTGTTTATTCTGACTAATAACTGTACAAAGCTTTACAAAACTTATAAGCTTTCGGTCAATATATCACCACCGTTTATAACTGGCAGACTATCCAGTCCATCCGAGCAAAAAACTGAACAACTTGATTGATTTTGCTCTATGTCGCTATTTCCTAGTATTTTGGAGCAATTGTCAGGAAGGGCGTACATTAGACGGGGTGGAGGGGGGTGGGGCGGCGTTAATTGAAGAGAGCTGAGGGGTATAATACAAACTTTAAAGGGTAGGGGCGGGGGGAAGCGTTTATTAGACAATAGGCCCTTATTTGAGAGAGGGCGTCTGTTAGGTCATTTATGGCAAGCGCTTTTGGTGTTAGATAACCATGCAGGAGGGAAATGGACTAACTTTTAGAATTTCATCCCCTGTGTAGCGAAAAATCTACCAGTGCGTGAATTTGTTTTTAGTCTGTTTGAGGGATTTACTATATAGCGGTTACCACTAACACGCGCCGTCAAAGTTTTTTCTTCGGTTCAAACCTGCGGTTTGGTGGAAGTCAATCAAATGTTCCCATGGTTTTCACGCGTTTTCCACGAGAAGATTCTTTCCCCGTTTCTCGAGCACTTGGAGGAAAATGTCGGCGTTTAACCGTTTTTGCAATAATTGCTACAGGATCTGACACCGCTTCATGTCAAGATAACGACAAAGTACGAATTTGTTGAGTGTTTGTCGGAGGAAACTCTTTCTCAATACGCGCTCGCAACTTATCTGAGTTCTTGCTAGTTCAGCATTCTGCTCGATAACATGAAGAATGATAATTAGATCTGCAGGTTACAAAATTCAGTTTCGAAAACAGCCTCCCTTCAGAGGAAACATTTGTCCCTTGTCCGGGTGTGATATCTTTCGTTTCTTTGAATTTATGCTCCCGTGAAAACTTTTACGTTAACTATAGCCTGTGCCAGGCTCTCAGATAGTATGGTGGGAACGTATTAAAGTAAGACGCGCACGACTTGGCAAAGGGGGCGGTGGCGGCGGGAAAACATCAAAGTCGTGAAGCACTTTGATGTCTGTCCCTCCCCAGCCCCCGCGCTTTTTTCGCATTTCTTATTACTTACGACTTTCCACCACCATCTCGGAGCCTGGAACAGGCTACGTTAACTATAGAGGGTATATCGGCCATTTCACCCAGCTCGCAGAAACCTCGTTGTTTTTACAATGTAATCCTTCATCTTAATGAAATAAATAAAATTAAAAACGCCGTCCTTATTCGAATTATTCTGGCAAGTCTTCGCCCTTCATTCAGCGACGAGCCGGGGAACTTTATCTGTTAGAGCACGTGAGAAAACCGTAGAAACAGTTGATTGACGTCCACGAAAACTCAGGTTTCAACAGAGAGAAAAAAAAAAATTCAAGGGCGCGTTAGTGTAGCCTGCGAACTGCTGCGAACAGCAGACTTATTTCCGGTCGTCGCTTCTCTCCCTCCGAAATACTTCTGCTGTTCGCAGGCTAGTGTTAGTGGTAACCGCTGTAATATGTTTCTTTTAGGCCCCGTTTACATGGAGAAAAGTTGTCTCGTCCGGAAAGAGGGCTACCCTCACAGTCATGTCAACTTTAGAAACGCCGCACTTAACCAGAAGGTGTAATTTGCATGTTGCAGGTTGCAGCCTGCAACCTGCAAATTACACCCTCCGGCACTTAACAACCATGCAACCTATCGTGAAGCACTTTGATGTCTTCCCGAAACATTTTGAGGAGTAATGCGAGTAATTTCTGTGGCTCATCAGATGTCAACTTATAAAATGAGTGTTCGATTGTCCAGTGTTCCTGGCTCCAAAGGCTGTAGCTGGGTAAATCATCGTGTCCAGCCATTCTCCGACGCGCTATGTCTTTAAATTGTTTCACCGCGGAGCTTAAAGATTCAAGAGCCTCGACCTTGATATTTGTGAGGGCCAAGGTTTCCTCGGGAGCAATTTGATCTAAGAAAGCTTGAATGTAAATGTCCAAAAATTGTGTACGTTCTTTATCTTCCACTATACCTCGGTATGCTGCCTCAATTGGATGTCTACTCCTACATATACTTTCACGGGACTCGTAAATTTCTTCCTTCCCTTCGTTTATCAATGACTTTTTAATTACCTTTTGAAGTATATCATAACCAAAGGAGGTATGGCGCAATCCAAAGGACAAAAAAGTAGTTAACTTCTTCTTTCGAGAGACTATCGTTAAGTCTTGGGCGATTTCCTTTAAGCAGTCTTCAAACTTGTACTCTGGCAAGTTTTTGAAAGATTCCAGCCGATCTACAAGTATTTGAATAATGGCGGCAGCATTTGAAAAATGCACGTCAAGAGAATCCTTCTGAAACAAGCTATAGTCAGAATAAAAGAAGCTTGTCAGTTTTTTGCCCTTCAAGCGTCTCACCAGCTCTTGAAGGATGCTAATCAAGCGCTGACTTAGGTTACTTCCGGTCCACAACTTAGCGTTTGTGTTTTTCTGCCATTCATACAACACTAGAGTTTTGAGGACGTAAGAGGAAATCAATTTCCCGGTCTCATCTAAAGGGTCGTCTGCTATGGAGATCCAATATGCGAGATTAAAGTCTTTGATCTTGTCCGTTTTTCCTGTTTCCGCCGTGCTGTGTTCTGCATCAGGAAACATCATGTCACGCAGCACTTTCAGTAACCTAAGGCATTTGCTTTGGCCACTGTTCGAGCCAAATTCTTGAACAAACAGCAACTGCTCAAAAGACGATTGAGAACAGCGCAATACGAAATTAATCGGCCGCAATCCAGGGTACTGTTCCTCCTCCTTCTTAAAGTAGTCTGGGTGTTCTTCAGAAAGAGGATCTTTGTAGGAGCCAACAGCTAAGAAATATGGCAGACTGTCTAGGACAGACTTCAGCACTCGACCGCTTGGGGAATCAAACTCTAGACCACGCAAGGTTGATTTGGAGTTTATTTTCACGGCTAATGTCTAATCTACACTGATTTTCATTCCTTTGTAAACATCCGATTCTCCACCATTCCATTCCAACAATAAAGCGTATGCTGGTCCGTGTTTCGATAAGGGAGGTGGTGCTTTCACTATATCGTCTCCTTCATATGGCAACACAACTTTCATCCCATATGCTTCAAAATCTTTGGCTTTGCTGTTGAATATGTTGAAGAATGGCTTCTTGATGGTTCTCTTCCACTCAAAATCCCTAAGGTCAAATAGCGGCATATAATGTGATCCATATTCTCGATCAGTAAATGCAAACCTCACATTCTCGCAAGCTGATTTGCTTGGGACCACGCACACAGTAGAACAAGGAAGTTCCTTAAAATTAACATCTTCTGGAGAAGAGAAAGCATCAAGCTGTATGAAAAAGTCGAACTCGTCAGGCTTTCCCACTTTAGTTCCTTCATAAAAGCTGCCACTGTTGATAAGCGTTGTCTTGAAGAAGGGATTTTCTCTCCAAACTTCCAGTAGGATAGCATTAATAACTTTTCTTACACGCCGCTGAATAAGAGAAATTTCCTGGCAGCAAGGTAGTTTTCCTCTTGTTTCGTCCAAGTCCACCAAAAACGTTTCCAAAGGGGTTCCTTCCATACCTATATTTTATCTAGTTTTACTGATTTGTGAATCACGTACTTCCGCTCTGCTTCTGGGGACTGGAAACGAGTGTGTCTTTTCCGTTTAAAATGATTCGCTCACAGATCATACAAATAGGACAAATAGGCATATTCATTACGTTGATGTAACAAATAATCTTAAACTGGGCAGGTTATAAAGGTTATTGGCAGACAATACTGAAAAGTGATGCCACATATTTGATTTTGATTACCACTGTATGCAATATTGATTTCACTCAATGAATAATTTTAAACACACATAGCAACTATCTTTCAATGGCCTGTTTCATTGGTTGAAATGCCTACTGCTCACACATAGTTGGTTCACAAGGAGTTTTATTGGTTAAATGGTATAGAAATCCGAGGACCTTGCTCTAAAATAGGGAATACATGTATGAACGATTCAGGTTTCTTTATAGTTAGTCTAGAACCGAGTAGGAATTTTGGTGCCTAGTCTAGAATGGGGTAGCAAAATGGGGAAAAACATGTTAGTACAAGTAATATTATTAGTATAAGCTAAGGATACTTGAGTCCCAACCCAAAATTCAGAATGTAGCCCCTCCAGCCCCTCAAAGAATAAAGCAAAGGTAACCACAGCCCCTTGGTGAGCTACACGTCAATTTATAAAATAAATAAGATAGTACATGCGCTCTGATTGGCCGAGAGGAGTGTTTGCATGAGAGTATGTAAACATGGTTGTGGCGTCAAGCTGTTTTCCTTTTCTTGTGCTAATCATGCAAGCACGAATTTGAAAGGGTTTTCCAGTTCAAAACTTGGCAAGTTTACTTTACTTACCCATTCCCCCGTCGGCTGAAACTTGGAAAATAGTTACAAAGAAGGTGTGTCAATTTTTTTTTGCTTAAGCTGACAGTTTAAGGAGGGGGGCGTAAGGGTTTGCGGTATTGCGGTATTGGGTCATTTTTGGTGCGGTGTTGCGGTAATTTTTATTTCAAAGTACGGTATTGCGGTTTTCAGAGTCCAAGCGGTTTGCGGTAAGTTTAAATTTTACGCCGCGGTAGTCGGTGAAAAAATCGTTGTGTCGCGGTGATCTGCTTCTCCTAAAAGGTCTCCCTGGCTAGCCTGCGTGACCTGTGCGCACAGTCGGGGATTGTATTCCGCAAACAGTGCAGACAAACCATATGGCTTCTAATTTCAGTTAATACTTGATATGATTAACGACATTAACTTTTTCATCCAATGATACGTAAACATGTCGCATTATTTATGACTTCATGGACCTTGTGGGAATAGTCAGCTTGGTTAACCTCCTTTATACCAATCTTACCACCACTTTCGTGCCAGTCGCCAAACAATATAGAGCGATCCAGAGGGTCAACTAAGTGATCAGTCAGATATTCCAGCAAATAGTGAGGTCAGTGAGATCGTTATAAATTGCGTAGTGTCGAAAGATAATCTATAAAGATGGTGTGGTCTAAAAATTACTACTTGTCCTTCTCGTTGTGCATGCAGGAATATAGAATGTACTAGTATTCGTGTGTGCTTACCCTACGTAGCATAGCAGCCCGGGGGTGGTGG